TACAAGTCAAAAGGGTTGATTTCGGAATTCTTAAGCTTTTCTAGGTATTATTTGTATTTTGATGGTATTTCTTGAGTGTGTGGACTAGATTTAATCAGATCCAAGAGTAGAGGATGGAAGATGGAAGGATGAGTCTACACGTGACATGTTTGGATGAGTGAGATCAGGAAGTAATGATTTGATGAGCAGTGGATCAGGGTATTCTAACCACAAGCCCTTAAATCATGACTAGGTGGTTGGAGAACCTCTCAATAGTTGGGATTTGAAAGGAGAGTGTGGAGAAGAGGAGGGGGTAACTTGTGATCTAATATAGAAGGGAAGAAGGAGCAAAAATGTCATGCATTTCTCCTCGAGTTTGACTTATATGTAAAGTGTGGATCGGTTGTAAGACTCCCCATATTTTCTCTTAGTTTGATAGAGATTGAGCTGGCTGTCCTTATATTTGGAGTTTTCCTTGGATCAAGTCTCTTCTTTTCTGCACCAATGAGGTAGCTTGATCTTGGCAACTAGTAAAGATCTCAAGTGAATACACATGATCCAAATGAGCTTCAACTCAATGTAGTACTAGGTAGATTTAGTGATGTATGATTAAATATATTTCGAGATTTAATTTTACCACCTTTTTTAGCATTTATAAAAATCTCTTTTCTTTAATCTTCTAGGTTGGTATATCAACACAGATTTCTTCTTTCTTCTATCTTTTGATCTACCTCGTCCTCATCTTTCATTATTAACTTAATAGAATAGATATATAATACTAAGTCCTTGTGGAGAATTACCTGGTCTTATCATAACTACATAAGTTTATTCTAAGATTAGTATTTTCATAATTTCCTACATGATCAGATCTAGGCTCTAGGTGTAAACAACAACCTAGTAAAACCCATCTATCAAATGGCGTCATTGCCTGGGACTTGAGAGCCATTAGATGTTTCTTTTTGTTAAATTTGTGAAACTCTCTTTTTATTTCTTGAACTAAGAAGTTTAGAGTTATTTTGAGTTGAGCTAGATAGAAAGGAATTAGGAGAAGTTATGGAGTGAGGAAAAGGCATCTCACCTTATTTTTAAAGGATTTCATAGTTATATCATTATAGAAGGATTTCTATATGAATATTATGATTAATTTAAACAGCCATCATGCATTCTTTCTTGAAGAAATTGTTTATTTGAATTTCTTTACCTCAAGGTTGAATTCATTTTGTAAAATAATTGTTTTCATCTTCTAATAGATATGAAGATAAAAAAAAAATCACAAAAATTTGGCTCTACCTTGGTGAGTTGCAGCCTACAATCTGAATTAAGGACGGGGCGGTGAATTTGTTCCCAGGCCTTGTACAATAGATATGTCTCTTGAAAATTATTAAACATCTTTACATTATTTCATGCAAGGTCGACATTTTCAAAAGGCTCCCTTTGTTACTCTTGAACTTGGTTTAGAAGAAGAATCATCTAGTTCTACTAAGGTAGCCAAAAATACAATTTCCATGCATGAGAATGATCAAGGTAGAATGCATCTTAAAGATCATTCAATTTCTCTTCAATGTAGAGCAGTGATCAAAGTGAATTCACCTCTTAGAGGAGTAAACTTTAGAGTAGATCATCATCTTGTGCAACTATTACCTCATTTTCATGGGATGAGTCGTGAAGAACGTTATAAGCATTTAGAAGATTTTTCTCAAATCTGAAAAATCTCTAGTTATCCAAATGTAGGTATTTCCTTTTACTCTTAAGGATATGGCTAAATATTGGTTTAGAGCACCATCTCAAGAGTTAAATTCATGGAGAGAAATGGAGGCAGCTTTTCTGAAAAAAAATATTATGGGTAAAACTAATGCTATTAAAAAGATAATTAGAGATTTTGTGTAGGGCACTCAATGATCATTTTGTGAGGTGTGAGAAAGAATGGAATACATTCGATAGTGTCCTCATTGGGATTTACAACTGGCAACTTGTTCATATTTTTTATGAAGGCCTAAATGACAAAGACCAACATATGATACATTTAGTTAGCACATGTACTTTTATGTATAAGTATGATGATGAAGCATTAGATTTGATTGAAATGACTGCAGAAAATAGTGCTCATCACATGGCTTTAAACCAAAATAGATGAGTCTTGGACCTAGAAGAGGAGGTATTTATGACTCTAAATCAATCGAGATAGGTATGATTTTAGATAAAGTAGATAAATTAATGTAATGTGTCAATAACTTAGTTAATGGTTCTACAAGTGATAATTTAAATCATGAACCATCTCCTATTGAATTTGAATTACCAATTTGTACACCTTGTTCTAGTCTTAAAATGTAGAGTAGACTATCTTAGATATAATCAAGTCATGGTAATAAATGATAATTTCTTGAAAAATTAAAACTTGAATCAAAATATTTGCAATAATATGAATAGCAGTAATAAGAATTTTGTAAAGGGTGAATGTAATTGTTATTGTTCTGCTCCGAATCATCAAAAATTCTCTTCACATCTAAGGCAAAATTTTCAAAGTTCTAGTTATGCACCTATTTATCATCAAGGGAGAATGAACCAAGGAGCACAAATGGATGATCCTTTGTCTACTAATGAGCTTTTGACGCAATTGTTGTAGGGTCAAAAAGCTATAGAATTAAAACAACAAGAGATCATACAAGAACTAGAGAGAATGAGGCTCAAAGTTGATGTCCAACACCAAGAATTCTTAAGGCTAGAGAAGAAAAAAGGTAAAATGGGTGATTCAAATTATAATGCTTGAGACAAAGAAAATTTCTTTCTCAACAAATAGTTAATCCTAAACATATGACTAATTCTTCTCAACATCAGGTTCTTCATGTAGAATCCAAGGATAAAGATTTTGAAACATTATATGATATTTCAAAGTCAAGGAATGGAATTTTTTTTCTTGATCCCTATAGAGAGAAAAGAGAAGGAATCAATTCAGAGCATGAAGAAAAAATATCAAGAAGATCTAGAAACTGTAGATACATATAAGGAGGGTCGAGAGCCAAATCTTGAAATTTACGAACCTCTATTACCTTTTCTTGAGGCCTTGAAAAAATTAAAAAATAAACCTAATACTCTTGATGATCATCTTGTGGATCTTTTCAAACAGGTCACTATTAATGTTCCTCTTGTTGATGATATTAATCACATTCCTTTGTATGTTAAATTTATAAAAGGATTATGTCCACCCATTAAGAGGCAAAAACGCAATCAATTATTCGAGACAATAAGTTCTATATTACTTAATTATATTCCTAAAAAGCATAGGGATCTTAGAGCATTGCTTATCACTTATGAGATTGGAGGTGAACTTTTTACTAGATCTTTACTTGATTCACTAATAGTGTTAATATACTACCAAAGTTGTTTATGATAAATTTAAATTAAGTGATTTGTAGTCAATTATAGTAGAACGTTAATTCTCTTATAGGTCAATTAACAATCGTATGAAATTCCTGCAGATGTGATGATAAAATAGAAAGTTGTTATTTTTCTATAGATTTTATTGTTGCTGAAATGAAAATGAATGATCTCATCCATCAGTAGTACATCACAACGAATGTCATCCTCATAGGAGTTAACTCTGAGGGAGACTAAACACTACTTTTAGACAGAAATGTGTGTGGAGTTTACTCACAATACCGTATAAAGATTAAGGTGATCTATCAAGGACAATCTTAATTTAGTGATAGGATTTTGAGATATGACATTAATACTACTACCACTATCTACAATATCCAAACTTGACAAAAGTTTGGAAGATAGTTGTCCACCTAAGGTTCTCCTCTCTAGCTATGCTCAACTCCTCGAAAAATGCATGGGTTAACTTTAAATAAGGCGTTGAAAAGGTTCCCAGAACCCAATACTCTAACAAGTAAGTTTATACGTGAATGATACATGTGAATAAGTTAGCTACCTTAGTTTGAAAACCTAACAAAACGGTATATGAAATTCAGGATGCAAATCAAATTCATATTTTGAGTTGACGGCTATGTAGTTAGAATCAGCAATGAAGAATAATGTTGAAACGTTTGATGGGAAGTCAAAAGGATTTCTATATCTAGAGGTTGAAGATTCAAAGCTTACGAGTGCAGCAAGGTTTGTACGAAGCAGTTAAAGGTAAGGACAGCTTACCAAGGTGAGTTCAGAGATGAAAGAAAAGAAAGAGCGCCTTAAGTTTGACTACAGTGCTCTGCGACAATTGGGAGATATGGTTTACGGAGACAACATGACTAAGTTTAGCTTAAGCTAGTGTTGAAGTCTATGACAAAGCCTCACATCAATTGTCTGTACTTGGCATACGAGTTATGCGCACTCTACATGAAAGAAGGTACAATTTACGTGTAATAAGGTAAGCCTATTGTTGACACCTTCTCAGTAAAGAACATTAATGGCCATTTGATATGATGAAAATCACGCTCTTATTTTCTTATATCCTCTAACTCCATCCTACGAGCATTTTGTTGGTATCCTTTGGCTCCATCCTACGAGACTATGCTTTTGAGGAGAGAAGGTATGTTTGTTGATGATGTGAAGAAATTCATAAATTCATAAGAATTGAAAAAATATGTCTTAAAGACCCATAGTGAAAACCAGGCTGATGGCTTTGTAGCTAATAAAGATTAGAAAAATAAAAAATCACGCAGAAAAGTATAAATAAATATAGATTGGTGGTAGCCACCTGAGAGAGCTGCAGCCTCTATAGGAGACAGGATGGATTGACATTTCGTGCAGTTGGGGAGCATCTGATCTCATGGTTGGGAGCATTGTTGCATCGATGGGAGCGAAATTCAAGAAACCTTTCCATGGTGAGATCAGTGCATAAAACTTCAAAACCCATTGAAAATAGTCCAATAAAGCAGATGAATTAGATGATTAAAAAGGAACTTAATACATATGATAGAGGTTGTCTTCAACAAATTGGCTGTTTAAAATAAAGAACAGTTCAAGTCGTGTCAACAAAGTTACCAATGCATAATTATTCTCCTTTTGTATTGCTACGACATCTAATTTACAGTTTTGTGAAGTTTTGCTGCTTTCCTCACACGGATTGTGGGGTTATCACTGAGCGTCCGCACTAGGTTTTCTGGCATTTCCTCCAAGAAGGCATTTTCTAGTTTGGTTAGTTTCTCCATGCCGTCCACAGCTTTGAGATTTTCACACCGGACCAGATTCAGTTGGCACAGGCTCGGCAGAGCATTCTCTGAAAATTTCAGGCGTTCAAGTTCCAACATGTCCACGATGCGCAGCTCTCTGAGCTTGAGAAAGCCTTCATGAAAGTTAAGCTCCATGAGGGTATATGCTTTATGAAGAGCGAGGAACACCAACTTGGGCAGCGTTTGAAGAAGGGGAAGTGGGTCGTCTTTCAGCTCACACCATGCCAGATGTACATATGCCAAGTTCTGGTGGGTGGAGAACCAATTTGGCAGAGCTCCTCCTTTCAATCTTCCCCGTAAGGCAAGTTTCTTAAGAGACTGAGGTGGGGACAGTTCATCCAGATCCAATTCATCAGTTTCGTTTTCTGTTGCAGCAATGATATCCAGTTTCCGAAGGTTTTCCATCTTTCTAATACCCGCACATAGTTTTGGGTGGTGATTCGGCTTGACATCTGTAATTCTAAAGCTTCGAAGTTGCACCATGTCTTCTAAGTGATTCATTATTTCATTTGTTGCTTCCACGCTTTGAAGGATCTGTAAGTTCTCCATATTCCATATACCTTTTGGAGCAGGAAATCCTCTAAAGTAGTTGTAGCTTTTCCATGTAGGATCAAGGATAGTATGTACAAACAGGTTCCGTAGATACTTCAACTTTGTTATGCTAGTTGGCAATTTCTTCACTCGGGTATAAGCAAGGTCTAGCGTTTGAAGGTAGACCAAACGCTCCAATTTTCTAGGAATCGTTCGAACTTTCGTATACCTCAAGCTCAAGTGTCGTAAATTGAATAAATCCCAGACTGCCTCTGGTAAGTGCTTGCTGTCAAACCCTGAGTTTTGCAAATCGAGAACCTTGAGTAACCTGAATGGCTGCAGAGGCAAATCTACTGAGTCAAACAAAAGCAATGAGCGGATAGGATGAACAGTTACATTTTTTATCTCATTGTTTTGCCCACACTGATGAAGGGACAAACGCCGGATTTTCCCTTGAACTCGTCGAAAGTGTTCGTAAACATGGCAAAAATACTCCTTTCCAGCGATTGAGAGCGCCAGTTCACGCATCATGTCATGCATTTTGAATGACTTTATTCTGCCAAAGTTATTTCTTTCCACGACCTGAAGCATACATTTATTGACTAGTTCATTTAGGTTCTCCTCTGCTAATTCATCTAGTGTTCTGGTGTAACTTCTTCCCCTCTCCTCAATGAAACCTTCAGCTATCAGTAGCCGAATGAGTCGATTCCTCTTCATGACTAAGTCTTTTGGAAACATGCAGCAATATAAGAAACAGTTTTTAAGATAGTTAGGCAAGTCCTTGTAGCTTAAGGCTAAAGCACTCTTCCATTGATGAAGATCAGGGTTAGTGTTGAACTCCCAGTCAAGGCCGTTGACAACTTTTTCCCATTCTGACTTCTCTTTGCTCCTCACTGATAAAAGGCTACCAATCGCTACTATGCCCAAAGGCAAGCACTCACATTTCTCCACAATTTGTTTTGATATATTTACTAGTTCTTCAGGCCATTGGCCGGCTTTATCACTGCGGAAAGCCTTTCTGAAGAGGAGTTCCAAGGCTTGAATTTCCGGTAATGGTTTCAGCTCCATTGTATGGTTCTTGTCAGCAAGAGACGCAACAGCTTCATTTCTTGTTGTCAAAATTATCCTGCCTTGACGATTAGGGGGTTTGAGCGCCCTATCAATTATGTCCCTGCAGATGTTCCTGCTCCATACGTCATCCAGTACAACAATGTAGCTGTTGTCTCTTAAATCCTCCTTGAGTACGCGAATAAGGTCAACCTGACTCATCTTATCAATGTCCTCCGGTACCTGTACCTCTTCTCCCTTACGGAATTCCTTTATGATTCTTTTCAAAATGTCTTCGATTCCATATACTTGCGAGACATGAATCCATGCCCGACGGGCAAAGTGTCGTTTTATTTGTGAGCTTTTGTAAACATTTGTTACGAGAGTAGTCTTGCCGAGGCCAGCCATCCCCCAAACGGAGATAATTGTAGTAGTCTTCTCTGCATCTTCTATCAACCAGTTCTGTAAGGTTTCCCTGTAGTCATCGAACCCAACAATCTCACTGCTTCTGATGGAGTGGGCATCTTCGGACCAGTTCCGTCGCGTTTCAATTGCGACTCTCAGAGAATCGCCTCGCTCTCTGGTCTTGATACCATATCGCTCCTTCATCTCTCTCATGTGATCAAGTCTCCTTACGACGTGTTCTAATTTGTTCGCTATATCATGCCAACTCTGAAAGACTCTTGAGCAGCAGCAATATCTGGCTTTGCAGCCACTATGTTTAGTTTCCTCTCGGTCCTGCTGTCCTAGAAGATAAGTGAATTCATCTATGATATCTTCAACATCAAAAGCAATCTCTCTAATGTGCTTTATCCAAGTCTCTAGAAGTTGATCACTATCCTTCCAGACGTCTGTGTAGCTCATAAAGGCCTGTATAACATCGAACTCACACTTGATTTTTAGCATTTTGCTACGAACAACGGATAGTAGTTGAACTTCTGCTGCAATATCTGAAGAAGCACTCTTGATTGCTTCATGTGCTACTGCACCCGAAATAGCAACCCCTATGGACAAAAGGGCCTCTGCCATCTACTTTGAACTCAAAAACACTGCTCTTATTTAAGATCTCAAATTGGATAATCTGGTAAGATGCAAAAATCACTGCTCTTCCTTAGTGAAATAGCAACCCCTATGAAATAATTTTTCGCAAGTGGAACATCAAGCAGAAAATATTATAGATATTAAAGCAATGTGCAAATGCTCAATGTATGTAGAAACAAACCTTCAAGAACAACCGGGACTGTCCTTTCCAATGGTTGTGGTGGACAAAGGGTTCTCAAACTCGTGTCAAATGCTTGTTACTGGAAGATCAATACGATATATCTGCATCGATACAGCGAACGGTAGCAGGATGAAATATGAAACGACAGAGTATTTTTGTTGAATTTCATTGCTCAAGAGAAAAAGTGTTCAAATAGGTGTTCTTATGCACATTATATTTTCCTTACCTAAAATTACACTAGAGGAAATTATGAATGGTATGCACCCTTCTGTTCCTTTTGACATGATTCTTCCTCTCGATTAAACATGTTCATGGGAGTTTTTTTTAGGCTAAAGCATATTTGACTCAACAGATTATCATAATTTAGAATCTCTTTCGTCAGACGTTGACAGAATGAAGAAGAAAAAGATGAGATTGTGTGAATGACTTGGCATCAGTTTATTTGGATTACCCTCGTTTTTCTTTCTGAGATAGAGAAATCATGTTTTTGCACCCTAATTTGGCACAATTTGGGGCATGTCGATCTATATGTTAGAGCTGATACCATCAAAGTATCCCTCCGATTGTGCTATTTCTGACCAGCTGAAGGATTGCTGTGTCGTTGGTGGTCTTCTGATTGAAACTTATCCCGAAAGTAGTCTTGAACAACAGCAAATTAGAAATTTATCTAGGAAAACAAATTACCTTTTTGTAGACCATTTAGTTGTTCGGAGCCAGTATGAACTTATAGCAGTAGGTCAGACGAATTTATCACGAAGTACTAGCAACTAGATGGATCACCGGCAACTGCCGAAAGAAGAAGGCCTCGTACCTCTACGTAGGCGGAGCTCGCGGCCGGGACCTTGTTATCGCGGTTCAGGCGAGCGGAGAAGGGAGCGGCCTTGCGCTGTGGAGGTGTGACCAAGATGAGCCGTACCGTCGTCGACATGGGTTCGTTGACTCCTCTCTCTACTCCAGGTTTCTCCCACAACGGCACTTACGGGCCTCCGCTCCATTGAATACGAAGCTCGTAGATGCCGCGAGGAGAGCTTCAGAAGTTGCTCAGAAGCGTCTCTTTGCGTGTGTTGACGTCGCCGTGGACAATCGAAACCGTGCAAGGGTGAGTGGAGAGGAAGGGAGCTAGCTGCCCGTCGATACCGCGTCCTGTTTGGTCCCCACACGGCGAAAGTCAGAACGAAATGCGTCGTCGATCGTTTGCTAGCCGCCTCTTCTTCATCTGATACCAAAGGAAAGGGCTTTCGCTCCGGTGCTCCAATCGGATCTTCGGAGGAGGAATTTTCTTGTATTAAAAAAATCCATTTTGGAGTTTGTTAACGTCGACGATGGAGAGGCAAGGAAGAAACCGATGACCAAGCCAGCAAATGGATTGGACCAGCAATGATCAAGGTTAACGTGTGTTTAAAACGTTTTGACTTCCTGATGAGACTAATAAAGCTCTCTTCTTTTATGGCGCATCAGAAGGAAAGATGGGAGACAGCTGCAGTTTAGGCATGCTTCGGAGAAACAGAAGAGAGCGTCATAACGAATTGCAGAGATGCTAGAGCTGGTTTCATGGAGTTAGTTGGATCGAAAGAAAATGTTACACAGTACATGGAGAGGGAAGGAAAGGAAGCAACGGACGGGGTCATTGACGAAGGGAATAACCCGGCAGCTGGTGAGCCTGGGTCCAACCACTCTGTAAGAGGACGGACGACTCCCTGTACGATAAGTTAGAATAATAAACCGGTGTAAAGTTGTAGACTTTGTATAATTTTAAATGAGAAGTCGAGGGTTGATACCCCTTTCAATGCCCGACGCATTATTTTCAGCCAAATAATGTCAACTGTTCCGTCCAGAAGTCTGATTGACGGGTACATGGAAAGACGTCTTCTCACGGAATCAGGACTCGTTCGTCTGAGCAAATGATTGCCGTTATGTTACAGATTTGTGACTCCATGCCGGACCGTCAGTTCTGGGTGGCCCTTTCTCATGCTTGAAGCATATTAAATCGTAGATTTAGCATGAAGATCTCTACGACTGAGTCTTCGGCAACTAGGTGGAGCTTAGACTTCACATGGCTTCAGCAAAATGTGATGGGTGCCTAATTTTAGGTGGACGGGATTTAGAGGAAGAGGCGTGAGAAGTGGGAAGAACAGAGTACTATCGCCTTTGACTCGGAGAGATCCCCGATTACAGCAACAGTTCCATCGATCTCTAAAGCGCTCAAGGAAATTGAAGGAAATAGGGAAAGATAGCACGGATGGGGGGTAAGGGGGACAGAAGGCTCTTGCAAGAGCTCTTCTGGATGTGGAATGGCCCATTGGGCTCTGAACTATTGACCGCTTGCTTCACCTGCAAAACGTGGAAGACTAGGTGGATCTGGGCCGTGGCAAGATGCTCCAACTGATATGCCACTAGGCCTATCTCCTCTTGAGTTCTGAACGGCCCATAAAACTTGGGGGACAGTTTCTCATACGGCCGACAAGCCACGGAATGCTGCCGGCAAGGTTGAAGCCGGAGAAATATTCGATCACCGACTTGGAACTCGACATCACAACGCTGATCCGCCTGCCTCTTCATGTAGGTTGAGCTCGTTCCAAGTGAAGTTTCAGTTAGACGAGAAACTGATTTCACTCTTGGAGCATCTGGTCCCGCATGTCCACCTCGGAGGAGCCAGAGATTTAGCAGCGGAGAGTGGGGGATCCCTTTCATACACTACCTTAAAGGGTGTTGTGCCGATGAAAACATTGAAATTAATGTTGAACCAATATTTAGTCCAGGCAAGGTAGCTGCTCTATTGGTTGGGACAGTCTCCTGCAAAATAGCAGAGATATGTCTCAAGATCCTAGTTTACCATCTCTGACTATCCGTCGGTCTATGGGTGATACGAGCTCGTGCGATGAAGAGTGTTGCCGTGCAGCCTGAAGAGAGCAGTGCAAATAATGCAGAGGAAGATCTGATCTCGGTCAATTATCTTCCCTTTGTTCTTCCCAAAACTTTTGCCATCACCGATGGTAACAACTTCACCACTCAGGGGCTTAGATTGAGCTATCAATGGAAGCAGAATGCCGCCAACAGTCTTCTCTCCAAAGCTTTTGATCTTGACGAGCACCCTATCCCCCAATGGCATTATAGTAGTACACTTGGGAGCGATGATCGTGGCTGCCTTCATGACAAGTTCCTAGAAGGATCCCTGGGTGAAGCCCACCACATGGGACCCTCGCCCTGAGCCACTCTTCTGCCATCACCTCCTTGGACATTTAACGACCTGACCAGCCTTGCCGACTGTTAGGACCCTCCTACTGGTCGGCAGAGTCTCCAACGTGTTCTTGAAGCCAAGAGCCATGTCGTACGTTTCTCGCCTTCCCATCCGCCATTTCTTTGGTCTGCTGGGTTGTTGATTGCCCCTGATTCAATCGAGATAACTAACCCCGAGGAAGAGAGCGCAAAAAGAGATGGATGAGGGAATCCTGCTGTAAAGGAAAGAAGCTCGTTGGACGAGATTCGTGTCTTCATCTTCTTTACAGCATCCCGAGTTCGTCTCCTGGGATGAGGTAAACTTCCTAATAGCTTAACGTTGGTTAGAGATTGTGTGTAGCTAACCTTCCTAATAGCTAACCTTGGCTGAGGAAAAGGTTCGTCTACTTTGTGTCACCCAAGGATTAGTGGAGGAAGAACATGAGTTCAAGTAAAATCATTGAGAAATTTTTGTTTATATAGAAATTTTTGTTTATAAGAAAATGGTAACAAGTTCTTGTTCTCTACTGTGTCACCCAACAGAGAATGAGAACAAGGGAGAAAAGTTGTTGCGCCAACAATATCCCACTTTTTGGTGATGAAAAAATTATACATACAAGGATCAATTAAATATGATTTACATTTTGAATTATTTAATATAGTGATCATTTTATTTTTGAGAATATGCTTGTTCATGATTTGATATATGTTAATTGATAACGTGCATTCTTATCATGTATTTACACTATGTTTATCATCTTTAGTGCATAAAATTAATAGAAATAAGGCATGCTATTATTTAATTCTTCCATATTTAGATCATTCATGCATAAACATATATTTTGATATTATTTTAAGATAATTAATTTTAAATAATTATGTATGAAATATGTTTTATGTGAGTTCTATTTTTTTTTAGAATTTATTCTAGATTTTTCAGAATTTTTGAAATTTCTTATCATTTCTAGGATTTTGTGGAGATTTTAGGTATTTTGCAAGACAGTCCAATGACATTGTGGAGGATGTGATTGTGCACATGGAGAGCTGCTACTTCCCATTAGATTTTATAGTAGTAGATATGAATGTCACGAAGGAGCTTAGTCAAGCTCCCATTATCTCAAGGTGCCCATTCTTGGTCACTACTTGAGCCATGATTGACTAAATTGATGAAGTACTCGAGTCATGACTCACTAGAGAAAGGAGAGTTAAAGATGAAGGTTGATGACCAGAAGGTGAAGCTAAATATAGCCAAATTGATGAAGTATTTTGTTCATACTTCAAAGGATATATGTGCCATTTTCATCTTGGAGGATTTAGAGGATTATATTAAAGAAGTAATAGCACTAACTATGGAAGCTGATTTAGAGGAGTTGAGAAATGAGAATATTCCTTCTAATGACTTGAGGATAGAGTTGAAACTTCTACTATCTTCATTGAAGTATGTATTTCTTGACCAACATCAAACATATTAATAAGTCTTCATTATTATGAGTTAATAACTAATTCATAATATAGTTTTAGTCTTAGCTCATGATAAATAAATTTATATTTATGTTAAATTTAAAAAGTAGTTTTTAGTTAGTTAATGTAAATTTTTGGTTAATTATGTAATTTAATGTGAATTTATATAATTTTTATAATCTTATTTTTGAGATAAATAAAGAGAAATAAAAAAAGAAAAAGAAAAAGAGGAGAACCTAATGGCCAATTGGGCCTACAAATGGGTCGGAAGCATAATCGAGTGGAGCCACAAGTAAGGGCTCGAGCAATTAAAGGCAGACTAGTAGGAGACACATGTGTTTCACTCACGTTCTTGTCATTAGTAGCCAAACATATGTGAGGTAAGAAGTGACGTATACACTCGAGAAAGGGATATATTGATTATCAAATCTCGTATTATTATATATCTATGTCAAAACTTGACAAATAACCAATGTGAAACTAAATCAATGGTCACAACTTTTTAGAAGGTTTTTAATGATTTTAATACTTAAAATACCTTTATTTATGAGAAGGAGATACTCTTATGACGTCACTTTAAAAGGATCTTCATGTACATATTTCACTCTCTCTCATATAGGTGGGAGACTGATGAGGGTTTGAATTCTACTATAGCTAAAACTCATATTTTTATTTAATTAAATTATAATTTTCTTACAAATTACTAGAGAATGATTAAGCTATTAGAATTACTTAATTATTGGTGAAAATTTCATTAATACAATTTGAGTAGTCGCATTACTAATATTGCTGAACGATTCTAGATAAAAGACTACAAATTTATTGACTAAATTATTTCCGATTGATCGATGAATAAGTTGTCATCAAGAAGAGGACGATCTACTAGGAGATGAGTTGCCACCTCCTAAGAGTGTACCAGATGGGATAAAGAGCCTCCTCTCGTTGTGCAGGCTTGAAGATGAAGTTATCTAAGACATGTCCCACCTTCATCTAGCTCATATATGTCGAGTAATAACTATTGAAGAGCTGAAAAGTTGCTATTTTTCTACTTCGTCGAAGAAGATTTGATGACCTACTTGATTGATTTTTACACTTCATAAAAAGATCAAGAGATTGTCCATATTGTCTTTATTAAAAAAAAGCTTTTGAGGTCATAGATATGACAAGAAAATTCTTCTAAATGCTCAAGATTCTAACACATCGCCGACGCAACACTAGAACTCTGTCTCGTTAACTTCTAATTAGTTTAGCTTCCACCATTATTTTCTAGACTTTGAAAAAAGATTCAGTAAATGCCTAAGTTGTTCATGTCCAAAAAGAGCCCTTGAGGCTATGAACATTACTCGATAACCATCCCGAACATACAAAATTATAGCAATCACTATCGCGAGACTGGAACTTTACCTTTCCTACTTTCAACTAAATTTTTACTTAATTTAGTAATACTATATGTGATTTCAAATTTCTAAAACCTTCTTTATTCAATTACAATTATTTTGACTTGTATATATCCTAATTTGATCTATTAAATCATTTGTAATTACTTATCTAAGAATCATGTTTTTGAACGCACTAACATCATCTTGACATCAGCACCCTTCTTTTCCTTTTTCATGAATTTTAAAATATATTTTATATTCATTATTTAGTCTAAAATTTAGAAAAAAATAGTATTTAAAGAAAATTCTAAAAAATTATTTGATATTATCTTTGATCTTTGTGATTGACTTGGAAATTCTTCATTATTTTTAGAACCTTTTATTAAATTATAATTTTTTTTAAATATATCTAAAAATATAAAAATTAGTATTTTTGAGTTTTATAAATTTTAAATTTAGGTGATTTATTATATAATGACTAAGTCACGTCAATTCTTAAGTTGTCTATGTCCAAAAAGAGCCCTTAAGTTATGGATATCACATAATAATTATCTCGAACAAACAAAATTCTAGTTATCATTATTGCAAGGTCTAAACTTTACCTTCCCTACTTTAAAATTATTTTTTACTTAATTTAGTGATACTTTGTGTGATTTAAAATTTCAAAATTCTTCCTCATTAAATTATTATTTTTTTGGCTTTTATAGATCTTAATTTGATCAATTAAATTGTCTATAATCACTTATGTAAGAATCATTAGGTGAAACTTTACTTCTACCTATTTTAGTTTATTAGGGGGCTAACGTAATCCTAATGCTTGCACACTTATTTTCTTTTTTGTAAATTTTAAATGTATTTTATTTTCATTGCTTAGTCTAAAACTCATAAAAAATCATATTCTTTGCAATTAGTTTTGAAATATTACCCAATATTATATTAGATCCCTATGATTGACATAAAAAAATCATACTATTTTTTAAACTTTCATTGAATTATAATTGATATATTTGATCATAAATACTTCTAAATATCCAAAAATTGATATTTTTTAGTTTGATAAACATTTAAATTTACATGATTTATTACATAATGACTAGGTCATGTCACATATGCAGTGATATATCATCGTATTTGACTTAGGATCAAGAGAATAAATTGCCTAATATGCTTAGGGCAAATAAGGAGGTGATTGGTTGATCTCTAGCAGATATTTGAAGACTTGATCTATTTGTGTGTATGCACAAAATTTATCTTGAGGAGAATGCTAGACTTGTTAGAGAAGCCTAGAGAAAACTAATTTAAAAGGTATGGGGGATATTGTAAGAGAAGAGATCTTGAAGTACTCAAATGCACATATTAGATACCTCATATCTAATAGTCCTTGGGTTAGCCCAATCCATGTTGTACATAAGAAGTTGGGAATTATAGTGAGTGTGTACTGATTATAGAAAATTGAATTCTTCTACTAATAAGGATTGCTTTTTGTTAGTACATGAATAATGTGCTGGAATACATCTTATCTTGGTTAATTTTACATTTCTATGATATTATAATGTGTTGTTTACATTAATAAATATGATTTTTAACATGTTTCAAGATATAGTAATATTTTAAATATTTCTTAGAATTTTATGAGATTAATCTCCTCATACACATTTGGGTGTCTGATTAAACCAGATTATTTTAGACATTGAATATGCTTTTGTGATTTTCTAACTATTTTCCAACAAGTTTAGGAATTTATGCCTCAGTTGTAGCCGCTTCATCAATGGCTATGATACAACAGCCCAACCATCACTCACGGGAGTGAGGAGGCAGCCTTTTAGTTGGAGAAGGATCTGATGGCTTAGGAGAGAGCTCATGAGAAGGGAGTCCACTGATTCGATGGACTATGGCCTTGCGGGAGAAGAAGCCACCAGAACCTTTAAGCAATTTCTCATGTGCGTGTGAGAGGCGAGTGAGAAAGGAGAGAGAGGGAACACCGCCGTATACATTTGAGAAAAACTTATGTCATGAATAGGTTTTGATTAAGGAGGCCTTCAATGATTCAGCCAACCTAGAGGGTTTAGGGTTTTCCAAGCTTTGCATTGTGTGAATGTAGGTGTGTCAATATGGAGTGCCCCTCATCTCATCTAGATGAGGTCTCTCCCACTACTTCGAGTGAACACTTCTTGGCGGAAGTAAGAAAGAAGGAATGGTGATACTAGGTTAGTTTTGAGATGAAGAAGGTTCCATTTAGTTAGATTAGAGTTCAAAATTTATGAATAAAAGTCACGAACAATTGATTGCCATTCTTATGCTGACTAGATCTGAGAAATCGGATCTGGATTCATCATTCCCTCTTCTTCTCTCTTTCCAGTCCACGACCCCTCATTTTCTTTTCCATTCTATCCTTCATTCGAACGAGCATTAAACGGTAAGCCTCAAATTCCTTGAGGAGACAACCTGACTCGCTGCTATCTACGAGTATTTCGTGAATCAAATTAAAACATAACTGATAATATTTTTGATCGAAGAGATTAGGACTAATGACACCTGTAAGAAATCTAACTTGTCACTTTCCCCTTCCATTCATTGACCAGATCCTAGAGAGATTGGCTGGTCAAAAGTGCTTTTGCTTCGTAGATGGCTATTATGGGTATGATCAAATCGTTATATGCCATGAAGATCAAGAGAATATCACATCTATATGTCCATTTGGCACATTTTCTTTTAGACGGATGCTATTTGGGCTATGCAATTCCTCGGTAACTTTTCAGAGATGTATGAGTGCCATCTTCTTGGATTTTATTCATAATGGTATGGAGGTCTTCATGGATGATTTTTTAGTGTTTGGACAAACTTTTGATGATTGTCTCACCCACCTGATCAAAATTTTAGAGATTTGTGTTAGGAAGAAGTTAGTTCTCAATTAGGAGAAGTTGTATTTCATGGTACAAGAGGGAGTGGTGTTAGGCCACTTAGTATCTAACAAAGGCCTTGAGGTGGACAAGGCTAAGATAAAGGTGTTAGGCCACTTGATTTAAGTTGGGGGGTGTGATAAGTCTTCATTATCATGAGTTAATAATTAGTAAATAATATAGTTTTAGCCTTAACTCATGATAAATAGACTTATATTTGTGTTAAAGTGTGAAAAGTGGTTTTCAGTTGATTAACGTGATTTTTTAGGTAATTATGTGATTTTATACGATTTTTACAGTCTTACTTTTGAGATAAATAAAAAAGAAATAAAAATAAAAATATAGCAAAATCCAGGGGACCCATCGGCCAGCCGGGCCAGCAAGCGGGTCGGAAGTGCAGTCGGGGAGTAGCTGCGAGTAGGGGCTCGAGCGGCTTGAACCAATGGGGGCACATGTGCGCCACTCCCCTTTCACGTCACCGGTGGCCAGTCGGTTGTGGGGCAAGGAGTGGTCGTACAAGCACGAGAAAGAGACTTTGCTTAGAAATGTAACATTACTATATATTCACCCAAAAATTCGGTGCACAACCGATGTGGGAGAAAACCTGTCACCTTCCTCAGAAGAGGCGAGGCAACCAGTGCGGGTTCGAATCCTCCTAGAGCCAAAACTCATATTTTTATCTAATTACCGCGACTTTCCTACAGATCGCCGGTGAAAGATTAAGCAACCAGAATCGCTGGATCATCAGCGAAAATCTCATCAACACAATTCGCGGAGCATTCTTACTAAAATTGCTGAAGGATTCGCGATAAAAGGATCGCGAATCCATCGAGTAAATCATCTCCGATTGATCGACAAACAAGCCGTCGTCGGGAAGAAGACGATCCGCCGGGAGACGAGTCGCCACCTCCTGAGAGCGTACCAAATGTGATGAAGAGCCTCCTCTTGCTGCGCAGACCTGAGGATGAAGCTCCTTGACACGTGCCCCACCTCCATCTAGCTCCTCTCCATCGGGTGACAGCCGTCGAAGAGCCGCAAAGTCGCCGTTTTTTCGCTTTGCCAGGTGACAGCCGCCGGAGACGATTTGACGACCCATTTCATTGATCTCTAGACTTCACAAGGAGATCTAAAGATTGCCCACGTTGTCCTTATCCAAGGAGAGCCTTCGAGGCCATTGACACTACATGACGATCCTCCCGAATGCTCAGTATTCTGGTGCATCGCTGACACATCACCGCCGTGACGCCGAAACTCTGTTTTCCTACTTTTAACTTACTTTATGCTTCATTTAGTGATAATTTCTGTGATTTAAATTTACCAAAATATACTTCGTTCACTTATGATTCTTCCGGCTTTTACAGATCTTAATTTGATCAATTAAATCGTCTGTAATCGCTTACGTAAGAATCACCGGGCAGAACTCTGTTTTCTCCCAATTCGCGTTTGCCAGGCGTTGACGTCATCCTGACGTCCGCACCCTTATTTCCTTTTTTCGTGAATTTTAAATATATTTCTTTTTCATTTCCTAGTATAAAATTCATAGAAAATAGTATTCCTTGAGAAAAATTCTGAATAATTACCAGATATTATATTACATCCTTGTGATTGACTTCGAAAATTACTGCTATTTTTGGAAGTTTAATTAAATTATAATTGATATATTTGTTCAGAAATACTTCTTAATATTCGAAAATTCGTATTTTCTAGTTTTATAAATTTTAGATTTGCATGATTTAATATACAACAACTGAGTCACGTCAATCCTCTTCTACATGGCCTATTTAGGCCCATAATATCTCTCTCTTCTCCCACTTATATAAATACATTTATCTCTTCATTTAGTGTTAATATAATCTTAGGGTTTAACTCCTTATCAACATGGTATTAGAGCCCTAGGATTCTTTCTAGCCACTACCGTTACCATCGTGTTGCTGCCGTTGCACTTGATGTTGCCATTGTGTCGCTGCCGCTGCATCCTCTATGTGCTGTCCTCTCTCTTTGTGCAATTGTCCTGCTGCATTGTGCGCAACCAGTGCGCCAGCGCCTACCCTACCACTGTGGCCCCTACCATTGCACCCCTCCTCCTTCCTATTGTGGCCCCTATCACCACAGTCCCTTGCCATTGTGGCCCCCCTGTCGTTGCGACCCTTGCTGTCATGGCACCTATTATTGCAGCCCCTCCTACTGCAGCCCTTACTGTCGCGCTATCTCGCTGTGTCTCATAGTATATCTCAATATATCATGTTATATCATAGTCTTATTTCCTACTGCACTGCCTCTCAAAGTATCTCGTGGTATTATCTCTTACTACATTGACTCTCACCACACTATCTTTGTTAAAGCTAGATTTTTTTGTTTTAGTTAGTTTTATTATTTTATTTTATTTTATTTATCTTATAGAATAAATATAGGATATATTGTTAATTTTAAAAGTCTAAAGTTAAATTACTTAGCATAATTTTAGATTATTTAAAAATATAAAATAATAAAATATAAAAATATTCTACTTACTAGTAAACCAGCATTAGGCAATTGACTAAGAGGGGCGTTGTGGTTGAGTGGGTAGACCCAGACTAGGGGAGTCACAAGCTGGGCTAGAGTGGCAAAGGACTTGCTTTGCACATGTGTACATCACTCCCCTACCACATCTCAATGGCCAACTAGTCATGGAGCAAGGAGCGTCGTACACATGTGTATGCATGAGAGTGGACCACTTTTTTGCCTTCTCTCAAGATGGTCCTAGACATTATTTTATTTCTGGAGAAGGAATCTTTGATGAGAGATAGTAACTTTGATTTATATTCAGCTCATGTATTGAAATATTTTCAATGTCAGACTAAATGTTTTTGTGTGTCTCAAGGTGGCCATTTGAACTGCGGTGTGATCTAATGGTATTTAACGAGCCACGTCAATAGATAAGCCGGATTTTGCAGTGGACAAGATGCTACAATACCAGATGCATAAAGTAATCCATTGGTAGTTCATGAATCCAATGCCGCTCAGCATGCACGTGGCCTTAAATGGTGATCTGATAGTTAAGGAGGTGCCACAGTGCTAGGGACTTAAGTTCTCGGTCGGCAGTAGTTTGTGGCAGGTTGATCCTGGGTTGATTGGTGTGCCACGTGACCAAGCACATCTGATCTAATGGCTTGCAAAGCACCACGATACCGTAAACTTAAGTTTTGGCACGTATCATCACTAGGGATATAAAGATAATAATTAATTATTATTTAGTAAAATAGATATTTTTTATTATCTTTAAAATCCTAATGATAGTGATGAATACGACAATCCATTCTTCCCTCCTTTTTGCGTGATCAAGATCTGTGAAAATTGGCAAGTTCATTCCTTCCTCCCTTGACTACACTTGAGGCCTCCTATGAGTGGTCAACTCTTCCCTTCTCCCCCTAGATGATGGTGAAGTGTGGTCGACCCCTCTTTCAATGGATCTTTCCGATAAGTGACGCAACTCTTCTAGACAATACTTCTACGACATCTAGCATGGTGTTGCACGTCTAGACAAAACTAAGCCACTACATCAGTGTCTCTAGTTTCCCAAGAGACAGACTAAAATTGAGCAATGATTTATTTCTTACTTTCAGTATTTACTTACTTGCTTTTGTCATTTATTATATTTTATGATAAGTTATTTTTGTTTCATGTATGTTTCAATTGAAATGAGTAGAACTAATTTAAAACTTAATGAATGATCTTTATTCTTGTTCTAAATCCTCCAAAACTTGTTTGAGATCAAGCTAAGATTGTTTTCAACTAGTTTTCTATTGATTTTTGTATTCAAATCTCAACGTACTCATGTTCCCATTGTTCTGCAAATAATAGATATATTTTTTTTAATATAAAATCAGTGAGATTAAAGGCTGCTTAATGATTATTCAATTGTTAAAATAATATGGAGACATTCACAATTGATCTCATGTTATGTGTCTGAATTTTTGAGCACACATTCATCTGAGAATAATAGTTTCTTTCTTTATTATCATCCTATTTCTTTTTATCCCTCTAATAAGTTTTTATTATCATAAGTTAATAATTAGTAAATAATATAGTTTTAGTCTTAACTCATAATAAATAGACTTATATTTGTGTTAAATTGTGAAAAGTGGTTTTCAATTGATTCATGTGAATTTTTGGCTAATTATGTAATTTTTTATGAATTTATATGATTTTTATAATCCTATTTTTGAGATAAATGAAGAAAAAAAAATTAAAATTAAAATATAGCAAAAAGGGGGGACCTATTGGCCAGCCGAGCCCGCAAGCAGGTCAGAAGCGCAGTCGAGGGGAGCTGCGAGTAGGGGCTCGAGTGGCTAGGACTGATGGGGGCATGTGTGCACCACTCCCTTTCTATGTCACCGGTGGCCAGCTGGCTATGAAGCAAGGAGTGGTTGTACATGTAGGAGAAAATGACTCATTACTTGTAAATGTGATATTATTATATATTTGCCCAAAATTTCAGCGCACAAGTGATGTGGGACTAAACTTGACTTCCTCCAAAAGGCTTCAAAGGCGGGCAACTAGCGTGGGTTCAAATCCTCCTAGAGCCAAAACTCATATTTTTATCTGATTATCGCGACTTTCCTACAGATTGTCGGTGAAGGATTAAGCTATCAAAATTGCTAAATCATCGGTAAAAATCTCTTCAATATGATTCGCAGAGCATTGTTATTAAAATTACTAAATGATTCGTGATAAAAGGATTGCGAATCTATTGAGTAAATCATCTTTGATTGATCGACGAACAAGCTGTCGTCGAGAAGAAGACGATTCGTCGAGAGATGAGTCGCCACCTCTTGAGAGCATACCGGATGGGATGAAGAGCCTTCTATTGCTACGTGGATCTGAGGATGAAGCTTCCTAACACGCACCCCACCTCCATTCAGCTCTTTTTTGTTGAGTGATAGCCGTCAGAGAGCTGCAAAGTCACTACTTTTTTACTCCGCCAGGTGACAATCACTAAAGATGATTCGACAACTCATTTCTTTGATCTCTAGACTTTGCAAGGAGATCTAGAGATTGCCCACGTTGTCCTTGTCCAAGGAGAGCCTTCAAGGCCATGGACACTACACGACGATCCTCTCGAACGCTCAAGATTCTAGTGCATTGTCAATGCATTGCTGCCGCGATGCCGGAACTCTATTTTCCTACTTTCAACTTAATTTCTACTTCATTGAATAATAATTTGTGTGATTTAAATTTACCAAGATATACTTCATTCAATTACGTTTCTTTCAACTTTTACGTATCTTAATTTGATCAATTAAATCATCTGTAATGACTTACGTAAGAATTATCACATCAAACTTTGTTTCTGTCCGATTCACATTCATCGGGCATTGACGTCATCTTGACGTCCACAGCCTTATTTCTCTTTTTCACAAATTTTAAATATATTTTATTTTTATATTTTAATATAAAATTTATAAAAAATGTTATTCTTTGATAAATATTCTGAAAAGTTACCTGATATTATATTACATCCCTATGATCAATCTGAAAAATTACCATTATTTTTGAAAGTTTTATTGAATTATAATTGATATATTTGTTGAGAAATATTTCTAAATATCTAGAAATTGGTATGTTCTAGTTTTATAAATTTTAAATTTGCATGATTTACTATACAACGACTAAGTCATGTCACCCTCTCTTGTGAGATTTCTTTTTCTTTCTCCATCTCTAATGAGATCTCTCCCTTTCTCTCCCTCTCTCTTAATCGATCTCCTTCTCTTTATCTCTCTCGATCAATCTCCCTCTCTCTCTCTTGAGACCTTTCTCTCTCTTCATCTCATGTGAGATTTCCTCCTCTCTCCTTCTCTTTCTTTCAAGCGAAATCTCTTCTCTTGTCCTTCATGAGAGCTCTCTTTCTCTTCTCTCTCTCTTCTCTCTCTCTCTTTTTCTCTTTACTTTCTATATTTCCCTTTCTTTATTCTTCTCACCTAACCCTTCTATTTTATTATTTCTATTAAATATTGATAAAATATTAAAATCACTTTATATATAAATTAAATTAGTTTTCATGATGGATTAATCAATCTCTCAACCTAAGATTTACTTCTATACTAATATTTTATTAAGTCTTAGTTGTAAATATTATTAGGTAATGGACATTTAAACACAACGACAAGTGCACATCATATTTTTGGCGTCATTGTCGGCGAGATCTTTTTTTAATCAGTGTTAACTGTTTTAGTTTTTCATACTTTAGTGATTTTTTTAATAATTATTATAGCTTTAATTTTATTATTATTTTCACTTAAATAGTATTTAAAAAAAGTAGAAAGTTTATTAGGCTCATTTGATTTCTATTTACAATTATTTCATACATTATAATTTTAGATCTTTAGAAAATATTAGAAAAAGATAATGAACATTTTAAATTTTACATTGATTCTATACTTATCTTTGACATATTTATTAGAACCATATCTTCATGTCATGATCATTGCTAAATTTAAATTCTGAAAGCTTGAGTTATGAACAATAAATGCAACTTGCAACCAAATTTAGAAAATTCAGCTCCCAACCAATCTAAGAATTTAGGGGCACAAGAAAAATAAAATTTACCACCCATATTAGAGACTCTAGTAGCAAAAAAAGGAGAAAATCATCTTGTATAAATGTAGAATCATCTAGGATGAATTATCGAGCATAAGAGAGTGAGAATGTTGAAAATACTTAACGTTATAAACCTATGCATGATTATTATACATCTGATTTATATAGACTTACTTTGTAGGTTAGACCTCCTATTTTGTCAAATGTTCATTTTGATATTTGTCATAGCACTCTACAAATGTTTCTTGAATTTTGTGGGTTAGTTAATGAGGAGTCACATCAACATATTCTTTGATTTTTAGCTTTATGTGAACTTATTCATATTCCTAATATGTAAGTGATTAATTGCCAATACATTACTGGTGTGGTGCAACAACATTCATTTTGGACATCTAGAATCTAGGGTTTTAGTGGCGATTACATGTTAAAGGAGCTCTATTATATCATTAATTACTATTTTAATGAAAATTATGTGTACTATTGATAATTATAAATTAGTTGTTACTTCTATGTATTAATATCTTATATATAGATGCTAATTAATGGGTAGGTAATACAATTATACATGTATTACCAATTCATTATGACATTCATAATATTTTATCATTTAAGTGCTAGTATATTATTTTATTTATTTTATTTATATTATGAGACTAACCTCACCTGACTTTTATGAAGTTAAGTGGTGATTCTCTCACATTCTTTTTAATAATTATTTGATTACAAAAACTTAGGTGAGCTCTTATTATGATTTGAAAGTAATGAAAGACGTCCAAGCCTTTAGCCCAATGAAAAGTCAAGTCTTATGAAGAGGTCTGGCCTAATATATTTATGGGCCCAAGAGAGGGTGTCATCTTGGCCTAGCCCATTTGGACTTAAAAGAGATATTGAGAGATGAGATCTAGGTGCCCATCTTAGGGTGTCTTAAGATAAGATTAAGAGAAAGATTAGAGCATTGTCCTCATAGAGTGATCTAGGCCATCTACTAAGAGAGTCGGTTATTAATCATAATCGTCTACTAAAGGGGCCTAATTCTCAAGAAGATTAAGACATCTTGCCCCCTTCTTAAAAGGGCACTTTTTGGCTCTCTCTAGCAAAGACTAGTTGAAGGAAACAAGAAGAAAATCAAGGCCTGGTTAATGTCATTTTCATGTTTAAGATCATCGTGGAGAAGAGATTACTTGGAACACATCAAAATCATCACAGATCAAGCATCACTTGGCCTAGGACTAACGCATAATGAGATTTGTGCAAGATCTAGATTTGGGACATCTTTGTAATCCTCTCTATGGATAAATTAACTTTTAATTCAAATTAGGTTTATCATTTGTTCTATCATTTCATTATGTTAAATCTATTCTCTTTCTTTTGCCACACTTTTCATTTCTCTTATCTTCATCCTTTTTAGATTTAATTCTATTCTTCACAATCTTAAGTATATATATATATATACATATATGTATATGAAATAAAATAAGTAGAAATCTTACTCTCATGACCCATGCTCCTTGAGGATCAATCCTTACTTATTCTAAATAGAGGAGTGAGATTTTATAAATATTATTTACATGAACTTAGTTGCTTCATGACGACACATTTAACCTCCAATTTGAGTTTATCAACTCTAGGAACTATCATAGTGAAATTGAGATTACAATCACAAAAGTAGATGTAAGCTAAATGGTTTTGGCCAACCCACTATAAAAAGATTTATAACTCAAGTATATGTTTTCTTAATATTCTAATTATATTAAGTTCAATAAAAATGAAAAATTAAAAATTATTTATAAAATCTTAGTATAAATTAGAAATCAATTTACCCTTATATAGAAACTTGAGATTAATCCTTGACATCCGTAACTACAATTTTAATTACTAGATATTTCTATTAAATGTAAAATTAATTAGTTGTGGTTATATAATTTTTTATGATTGATTTCATGAATTTAAAAGCTGAGGTGTTGCATCCATTATATTTTTAATGTTGGCTAAAATGAGGGACGCCTTGACTCTTTAGTACATCATGAACTCAATTTTCCTTTTTTCATCTTTTAAGATGTTGGCTAGAATGAGGGACACCTTGACTCTTTAACATTGCATTCTACTTGTTTGTAGTGCATTACGTACATAAAATAATACCAAATTGTTGCAACCAAACATAGCCTACAAGTAATAGTATCATCCAAATTATGAGAACTAGTGAAGGATACATAATTAAATGGAAAATATTTATGAGAATAAAAAACTTCTAGAGTTATTTATGCTTCTCTTACTTGCAAAGAGTTAAAGTAAGATTGATTTATCTATTTACTATTCTTTATTATTGTTTTATTATATCTATTTTATAATTTAATTACAATGTTATATGCAAATAAATAAATAGTTATCAATTTTAATTATTAATTCTTAAATTTCTTAAATTTTAATTTTAAATAAGACAATATATAAGGAAAAAGTTTTCCCCAACTTTTTTACTCCATCATAGCTGTGTTCATTTGTCATACTTGAAAGACAACTACCTTATGTTGTAGGCACTTAAGCTTGATGTTTACCGTAGTATACAATGTATGTGACATGTCCAATTACATATGAAGAAATAGTGGTAAATGAGATGATAAAGCAAATAGTCAAGTTTCAGTACCAAATCATCAAATGTAGTAATAGAAAATATTCAATAAAAACTGTAACAAAATACATTTCTCAAGTGATCCAGAGCATCTGAAAGAAGATTGGAACTTAAAATCATTCATTTCACCCATTACGAAATGGAATTCTGCAAGAAAAGATGTGAGTAAATGAATTTTGTGTCAGAAAGTATAACATAAATTTGATATAATTTGATGGATAATCAGTGGAGCAGCCAACCTTCTAAATACTGAGAAAATTCAATACTCCACATTGACATCAACTACAACACCAACAATAAATGAATTGTGACTAAGGGTATAGAACCTATAAGAGCCATGCACAATTAGAACTTTTGGAAAAACCTATGCGGCAACATGATTCATGGCTATGATATGCTCTGTTTTTCGTTTTCATTTTTGTAACTTAAAATTTTGAAATAGGTGGTGGAAGGGAAAAGATGACGTGTACCACTCTTATCTCTTGTCTAGCTGTTCTCTCGATTTTGATCATCATACCCCATCAGGTTGGAGCGGAACTTTCCGAGAGATTTAAGCTCCCATTTGGAATCTTGTCGAACTATATTTACAGCTCTAAGCATCGGGTGGTTATCAGATTCTGTTTGCCATAGTTGATCCACAAATTCCCTTTTCATGTTCTCCAAGTGTACATTCTCAAGATTTTTGAGACTCAGGATTCCTTTGGGAGCATTTGTCAGTCCTTCACACCGCACCAAATTGAGATGGCGCAGCTCATTTAGGGCTCCACTCTCCACTTTAATTTCCTTCAGATTCTTCATGTCCACTATACGTAGATCCTTCAGTCGGAGAAACGATCCATTTTTGAAGGATAACTCGGAGCCGTTGTGTGCATTAATAAGTAGAAGGAACACCAAGCTATGTAATCCACCGAGTGAAGGAAGGAAGTCCTGTTCGGGTGGCAGACTACACCAACACAGCCGAACCCAAGCAAGATTCCTAAGAGAGCTGATCCACGTTGGTAGCGTCATCAATTTTGCTCGAAATGTGAGTTTCTCCAGGGACTGGGGAGGGACAATTTCGCATGTCATGTCTAGAGCTTCGTCACTCTTTGCACCCACAATATCTAGTCTGCGAAGATTCACCATCGTCTCGATGGCTTTAGATAAGTCTGAATAGTGCTCAGCTCTGACCTTCATTATTCTGAAGGATCGCAGTTGAGACATCTTCTTCAGATTTCTGAGGATATCCTTGCTTACTTCTACACTTTGTAGCGTATGTAGTTCCTTCAAATCGCATATTCCTCGTAGAGCTGGGAATCCAAGGAAATAACAGAAACTTTGATACGTACGATCAACAATCTTATATACGAACAAGTGTCGCAACCTTCGGAGCTTTACGATACCATCTGGCAACTCTTTGATATTAGTGAAAGCAAGATCTAGAGTTTGTAAATTGACAAGCCTCTTTATTGAAGTGGAGAGCCTTTTGATCGATGTATTCCTTAGGCCCAAGTAATGGAGATTGAATAGATTAAATATTTCCTTCGGAAGACCTTTAATAAGCGGAACGCCTTGCAAGTCCAAAACCCGTAATAATTTGAAGCCGGACTGAAGAGGGGGTTCACCAGTGCCGAAGTGTATCCAAGATCTAAGGTTCTGAATAGAACTTATGCCAAAGGGAATACTGTTGTTCGAAGACTTCACCGAGAAACGCCGCGCATTGCCTTCATAACTTTTTTCCGCATCCTCAAAAACGACATAAAAATCCTCCTGTTCAGATTTTGAGATAATAAGTTGTCGCATTATTGCACTTATCTTACAGGTCCTCACCCTCCCAGAGTCATTCGTATCCTGGACTTCAAGCATATTCCGCTTAATGAGTTCATGAAGATTGTCCTCCGCAACGTCCTCAGCAGTCCGTCTGCCCCGGTCCTGAATAAAGCCTTCAGCTATCCACAACCTAATTAACCTCTTCCTCTTGATAAGGTGACTATCAGGAAAAATACCACAATATAAGAAGCACGTTTTTAAGTACCCTGGGAGGCTGTCGAAGGACAATTTCAAGACGCTCTTCATCAAATCAAAATCGACGTTATTATTAAGGATCCAATTTAAATCCTCCTCGAGTTTTTTCCATTCCAAGATTGTCTTCTCCCTCAGGGACAAATAGTTTCCCATGGACACTACAGCCAACGGCAGCCCATCGCACATTTTCGAAATATTCCTCGCTTGTTCCATTAACTCAGTAGGGCATTCTTCAGTGTCATGTCTCTGGAAGGCCTTTCTACAGAAGAGATAGAGCGCGTCTTGTTCGCCAAGCTTTTTTACTTGCATGATGCGATCTTCACCTGCTAGCGAGGCCACATGAACACTTTGAGTCGTCATTATAATTCGACTTCCGCAATTATTGTCTGGGATAAAATTTTCTAGTTTCTCTTTCCAAACATTTTGGTCCCTCATGTCGTCTAGGACGATCAGGTACCTCATGTTTCCTAAAAACTCATCAAGGATTTTCTTCAATTCTGTGGAATCCATGGTATCAAGACGCTGAGGTATCTCTCCTTTTTGTCCTTTGAAAAGTTCTCTCACTATTCTTCGATGCAGATCCTCAACTTTGTAAGTACGCGAGACATTGACCCATGCACGACAGCCAAAGGATTCCCTTATCATTGTGCTCCTATAAACCTTGGACACTAGAGTTGTCTTCCCGATACCAACAGGTCCACTGACTGATATTAAAATGCGTTTGGAGTGTGCGACATCAGTTTGTCCGCCTTTTAACCAACTCTTTAGGTCTTTTTCGTATTCTTCGGTGCCTAAGATAGTTTCCTCGTCAATGACACGGGATGATCTGGTTAAATCTTGGTGCCTCTCGATAGCAATCTTTGATTGACTACCTTTTGTTGTTTTGATATCATATTGTTGTTTCATTTCGCCAAGTCGATGAAGCCTGTTCGAGATTTCTTGAAGCTGATTATTAATATGGTACCATCGGCTAACATTTGAAGAGTGCCGTTGGTCTGCCCAAATGTAAGTGTAATGGTCCATAATAGTCTCAGCTTCAAATGCCAACTCTCTTACTTCCTTCACCCAGGCGTCCAGTATCTCGTTGTTCTCCTTCCTTGTACCTATGTAGATAAGGAAACCTTTTATGACCTCGAACTCCATCTTAATTTGACTCATTCGGCCACGAACCTGTGTCAATAGCTCCTGCTGTAACCCATACAGAGAGTCGAACTGCTTTTCTAATTGGTCCGCTAATGCTGAGGCAATCTTTTCAGTCAAGATCAAAATCAGGGTCTCTGCCATTATTGATTTCCCACTTACCCGTGGATGATTTTCTCTGTAAAATATACAAAAATAAATGTCATGTTTACAATTTACAATAGAAGATATTTATTTGAATATTCTATTCAAGTGAGACAGATGTTGAAAAATAGATCAAGAAAAAAGGAATAGTTCTAGTATTATTACAATCTAGTCTATCCTTCAGGATCCCTCTTTCTCCCCTCTTATGTAGGTTGTAATATGGTATTAGAGTAGGTTCCCTCTGCTAGAGTTCCATTGTTACATTTTTCTTGCACCACTTATAAGCGTATTATAATCTTTTCGTTTGTACAGATATTATCCTCCCATCACTTAGTGGGTTCTCTTTTTATCAATTTAAGGCTTCTCCTTTCATCAGTCCTATCCTAAGTCAACTATTAGTATATTCAACCTCATAAGTAGCATCTTTAGATCCATTGGTGACATTTTTATCTGCGTCAAGCCCCACAGCTGGAGTATCTAGGTCCATTCTCGATGATTTTATCTGCATCAGCACTTTTGAGAGAATGGAAAATCACCCTGACACATCCTTATCCCACTACGTGTTGTCTTATTTCTTTTGCTGTGTTCATGTTTACCAACAACATCTTCATCTTTATCAATAATGTTTTATCTTTTGTCTTATTTCCTTTGCTGTCTAAGATGGACAATTATAAGTGCCCTGTAGGATTCACACCTTATAAAATGTTTCTTAATTGGTAATAAGAAAATTGAGTCGGCCGCTCCTCCCTTATCCTTCGAGACAGAGGATATCCCTCTTTCTCCCTTCTCTTATGTAAATCATAATAGCCATTTTAAGATAAACATACATGACAATAAAGGGAAGGATCTAGATCAATATCTGTATGGTACTGCGCTCCAAGAACTTCTTAATGTCTACACCTTTTGTAATCCAGAACCAAAGTAGTAAATCCGTAAATGAGTTCTTTTCAGATATGAGATCAATAGAATAAAATAAATATTATCATTGAGAACATGAGAGGTTAGAACTTGTAGGGCTGAAAAATGTTATAGATACATCAATATACAAATAGAGATACGAAAGATAATTTCGAACACAAAATTCCAACTCCTCTCTTTTCCTAAAAACGTGTAGTTTTTGAAAAAACACAAATTAAATCCAATGAAGTGCAATTCAAAAGCTGAGCACAGAAAAAATCACATTAAGAGGCCCACTCTATTTGGGTGTTCTTGAGTGTTTATGAGGCCAAGGGGAAAGGAGCACACTCTTGTAATAATGTCAAAACCATCTTTCGACGACAAGTCTATTAAGGGATGGATTGGCTCATACTTCACCGTCTTCCATCATCTCAGAAACTTGAAAGGATGGGTGCCTGAACAACTCACCCATACAAGTCACAACTTTCCTATCTTCCATCACCTCAAACCACACATTAGGGTCTTTTTTCGGGTTTTCGCTCTTGAGCATCCCCTTAACCTATTTTCTAGACTTTTCCTAAAATTCACTTGAATCTTCTTTCATATGCTGTGGCTTCATCAGCCCCAGTCCTTCAATAGGTCACATATTTCTACCACAAATCTAAAATTCTTCACTAAATGGTCACTTCTTTCAGTTATTTTTTAAAGTCAATTTAATTATGGGAAACGTTTTCAAATTAAACGGTGCACCAAAAATGAAGATTAACCTTTTTTTCAGAAAAATAGAGGAATTTTAATTATCTTTGAGACAACTGCTCATTCAAGTAAGAAGCATAACTTTTTAGTCAGCTACATCTGGAAAGACAGCTAAATAATTCCTTTTTATTTTAGTGATCAATGAAAGTTTTAATTTAAATGAAATCTCATTAACTCTCGTCAAAATATAAATAAGGCCAATGCCATGTTTGAAGGTTGACCCATTTGTAGAAAAGTATAGAGAATTGGGGTACGCATGGAAGAACCACATCTCATCTATTCACTTGTTTCGAATTTTATGAATAAACCAGTTAATGAAAACTGAGATATATAAAATAAATCATTCAAAGCTAAAAAAATGAGGAAATATTATATCATTAATTCCCCAATATAGTCTTTACACAGTAGTATACTATTATTCTCTAATATTTTTAAATGATTAAATTATTCTACCTCAATACCATTAGGTGAAACATTATAGCAACCAAGGGCCTGGATTTCCCATTTTGTAGTTCTAGAAAAAGGAAGTATTTAAAAGAGTTGATTTATTTCTTCTCAAGGCCAACCATGTCCCAAGCGTAACAAAAAAAGAGAACCAAATATGAGACGTTATAGTAATTACAAACAACTATCTAAATGTTCAGTAACCATTGGAGTGACTATGAATGCTGAAATTTTAATTGTTGGTTGCCCATGAAAGTGAAGAAATCTACTTTCATAAAAACCATAGCTTTTCATTGAAGATAAGAACCTTTTAGCATGAAAATTTACCACTTAGAGAATGATTAGAATCAATTGTTGCGTGAAAGAACGAAAACTTCCATCCCAGGTCTAAATTTTAGATTGAAATCATCATGGTTGAATATGTAACCTTTCATTGTTTATTTATTGTCTTGATGATAGAGGATCATGGCTAAAACATAATAATATTACAGCTGTTAACCTAGAATGTTAAGACATTAAAAAGTATCTAGAGTTGGGGTGATTAGTGTTTTGAAGTTAATATTTCAAGGAGAAGCTTGCACTATTGTATTTAGTTCTACAACTAATTACAATAAGTTCTAGAACTACACTTACCCATGTGTATAACGAATGAGTTCTAGAATTTTGGGAAGAGATCTCTAGAACAGGAGATTAAGCTAAGAACTGAACCACTATAAAACTATAGTTGTGTTCCTTCTATATTAGAGTGCACTTACCTTATTCTTCCTTCTACATCAAAGTGCATTTACCTTATTCAACATGTTTGTAGAAGCTATGGTGGAGTTTGACTAGTCCATGTAAGTAGTAGTACAAAAAAATTAACTTGATTGTTGGTCCCTATCCTAGCCCTAAAGAGACAACATTGCCACCTTTACCTAATGGTTAGATTCCCCTCCCCTTCCAGGAAGCCTTCCAAACCCCAGCAGCACCTAAAATTATCCCATCCTCTTCAGTAACCTCAAATGGTAACACCATTATGTGATATATATTATTAGAATAACCATTTGGTATAAAATCAATCATATCAAACATGCATATATTTTTGTTAATATTCATCTATGTGTCAGAACCCGTAATTTGGAAGAAAATATTGTCTCAAGTTGGGTTTGAGAGGCTCCAAGCCCAATGCAAGCCCTAGTTAATTTCCTATTTTCGGTCAATATCAAAGTAGAATGTCATTTTCTACATAAGGCTTGATCAAAAGTTTCAAAATTGCACAATAAATTCGAAAATATTATTAGAAGCGGTCATTGAATCACTGAAAGTTACATAGTGTACCGATAGATGATATACTCTACGAATTTCAGAACATTAACATAAATAAAATCACATTATCTTCTTAAATGATACCTTAAATATATACATAACTTTAGAGACCCTTCTTTTGACGCTGAATTCACATCTAAAAATGCATCTTCGAATATATGGAGATCAGCATATGGGAAAGAAATGAACTGAAGAAAAGGGAGAGCGTTCCTTGAACTCCTTTCTCACCACGCCACGTTTGCACTTTCTAAATTTGTGCACATGCATATATATAAAATAAGTACACAAATGATATACAGGTTCAAATGGGAAAGTCAAATAGTGTCCCAATTCAAGGTTAATGACATGTCTTGACTAGTGCACGGTAGACCCCAAAGTAAGGTCAAAGAGTTAGGTGGAAATAGTGATTGTCAACGCATTAAATAGTAGTCAATAAATTTTGTTGGCTCTTTTGCCTTCTGCTTCCATTTCGTCTAACTCTTTGTCTAAACACACAAATATAGTAAATAAATTCCGAATGGATCGATTTAACTGAAGTCAAACTAGAACCTTGAGTGTTTTCATTGAAGGTCTTGACTTCGTCAGCAAAAGACGATGGACCATCCACATCAATCGTGATCATTCATCGAACTTTCAGCTATGGTCGTTGAGAGATCATTTTCCTCCAGAACTTGATCGTTCCCAAAAAGGCTAAACTAAGTCCGAGCTCTGCCACTAATAACTACCCTTGTTGAGACTTAAACTTCAGAAATTAGTTTATGGCTGTTTAACAGCCGAATTTTTCAGGAAAGTTTTTCAGAATGCCAATTGCCCTCCACTGTCCCCATTTTTGACCCAGGCAGAAGCAGGATTGCTGGGCACCATTGGACCTCCCACCTGCTGCCATCTGCCCACCGGACCAGTGACCGTGGTTGCTGCAGAGAGGAGGGCCGTCTTGGTCCTCTTCATTGTGTTCGGTGCCGGAGGGGAGCTAGAAGCAGAGGCGGTCAACAAAGTTTTCGCCTGATTTGGGGACTTCCCTGGCCCCACTATTACAGAGTGAAAGAGAGAGTCAAATAAAGCCCGGCCAAGAGCAGGAAATTTCCGGCACTGCCTGGTTCTTGGTATGAACTTATCATAGAGAGATAAAGAGAGATTTGAGCTGTCCATTTGTAGGAAAGATAATATCCGGTCATTCATCGGCGTATTTTAATTATAATTTAGCTTATTTGACGAAAACACTGTTTCCCAAAAGTCAACAATAGCGTTTCCCCTACACTCTTCGCTGGAAATGAGTCCTTTTAAATCGGAAATAAATCACTAATGAGAGAGCGTTCATCCTGCAGCCCAAGAAAGACGCTCTGGTGGTCCCAATTCTTTCGTAATGGTGTCTAATAATTGGATATTTAAGACTAAAGTACTGGAAATTTATACAGCTTGTCTAGCAAAAGTAGCTGTGCTCCTTTGGAATTCTATTCGCCTAGTCAATGATCATATTTCTCAAGAAGGGCAGATGGAGAACGCAAAAGTAGAAACGTAATTTTGTGAATTCTTTTTCTCGCGCTCTTCAAGCGAACAGGAATTCGATAGCTCGTCAAAATCTCTCCAGTCCTTGTAAA